AAAACTTTCGCCCCAGGCGGGACTAGGGCGGGACTAGAACCGCACCTCTCGCTTTCCGGGCAAATGCGCTACCAGTTACGCTACGCAAAGTTTTGCCACAACCCAGCATACTGTGAAACTATTCGGAGACTTTCGTAGAGTTGGTCTCATCCAAATAACAAGTTTTTAGGCGGCATAATCGGGCACAGGCGTGAATGGTGACTACAATTCGTTTCTTAATGCGCTTCACAAACGTCTTGATGACCCAGTTAGTTCCAACCGAATAACCTTCTGTCGAGGTGAAAACTTCAAATTATGGGAGCCTACTCTGAACTGAACGCAGTGGAATATTATTTTGGCAAATGGAAAACATCACTTACCAAGAAGAGGGATCACAAAGAGTATTACGTACGGATGCCGACGCATCATCATCAGAGCGACGAAGGCAGCGCTAAGGTAAAGTACAGCATACGATATAACCATCCACAAAAAGATGCTGGTAGCTATTTCCAGCCAATCAGTCATATATGCACCAGATAATGTCAGGGCACCCAAAAGCGAATACGATCTGAAATAACACTGCTAATTATGATTTGCAAATAAACAATATGTTGGACACAGCTACATGCAAGCCAGGCAAAAAATATGCCCAATACCTTTTTCCTTGCCTGGCTTTCCAAAGCTGTGTACCTTCTCCGTGTCACAGTGACGGATCACTAATGACTACTAATCCAGAAAAGATTTTTGTGGTTTACATGCCTACTACCTGACCTCGTGACCTGGAATTTTATACATCGCCCATTTTATATCTTCTTAAACACACGCATTCGTTCTTTTTTTAATTCTAGACTCACAAACTTCTGTAAAAATCGCGTTTATGATTCAGTTCGGGGAGACAAAAAAGCACTTTGCCCGTGGCGACATCATCAAACTTTCTGTCGCACAGGGGTGTTGATGCAAGTTTCACGGCAAAATATTTTAAGATGTCCCTAAGGCAAAAGGAGGCCCCCTTCACTGCCCTCACCGAATTCGGAACATGCCCGCTCACTGCTCTTTGATTTTCTTTGCAGATTTTCGAATATTATGATGTAGTCTCAAATCGCGCAATCTCTTGTACATTTTGATGTACAACACTTGTGTATTTGCTTCACTCTGGAGCTTACACGCGAGCAAAAAAGATTGCTCATGCTACATGAGTGCAAGTTGAGCTCGAAACCGAATGCTTCTGCATCTGCTTGTAGAATCAATGAAGCCTGGGATGAAAGGCACGGTTTCAGTTTTTTGTTTTTAACGTGACCTGTTCACGCTTATCTAACCCCAAAATGAACGGCTTTGTAACCCTTCGAGTTTTTGTCACGCAGAAGTTATCAGCGTTTTGCTGTACAACGAGCGCCATCTATAGATCCACTAGACGTCTCAAGGAATAAGGAACCAACAGCAAGTAACCTACACTAGCAACCTTTTTAAGGACTACAAATGCTAACAAAATGATTATACTGACCGATCCAACCGATCCGTATCATTTTGTTTTTCATCGCCAAACAGGGATATAATCTGAGACGGCGGTGAAGTAGGCGACGCCATCACTACACATAGATTCGGAATCCAAAAAATAAGAGACGCTAGAAGTAATAGCTTTAGTTGCACGAATGTAGTAATTCAGCCTTCTGCATAAACATAGGTATATTACATGTGTGCAACAATTGATTTCAAAACGCAGAACAAACTAATACGTCTTTCTTCGACATAAAAACCCATCCACCAACAATGCATAGTAATTGCATATGCATAAACGTAACACAAAAGGTAAAACTGTTACGATTGTCAACAAACTATGATAAATCTTACATCAGAGCGGAGTAATTGTAGATTTACTCCACAAAACCAATGTGTCTTCATCGCAAGTATCCGTTCGAACTAATTTTAGGGGAAAAAATCCAGGAAAGAATTATAGAAACGAATAGAACTACACTAACTGGATGAATACAACGAAATAAGAAATACTCACTGTAAATGCCAATTCAAGAAAAACGAGACACTTTGAACGCTAAGCTTCTAAAAAATACTGGTAAAATTGTACGGTCAAAAAAAAACGTTGCGAACTGAATCTGGACTCACATCTCTCGTTGCACTAGGAGTACAAGGAGTTACGTGCTTCACCCGATCAACACAATGACTAAGAAAATTTAGAAAACGAACAAGCTAAAAAAAAGTTGCAAAGGAATATATTCTTGCTTAGTTAAATAAAAGTAACGACCAGACCAGCATAAATCCCACACGGAGGAAAATACTAATGATAAGAGGCGACCTCTGCGCTGGGAAAAACTTGGGGTCAGCACCAACCGACATCCTGTGGTTTTTATATAAACTTCCCACACCCACAATAATCGCTCCTACGTTTTCTGAGTTAGTCCTTAATTACACTATATTCGAGTAAATCTCCTCCTTCACGAAATGCAACGGCATCCACTCTCCAAAACGAACAGATACGACCCCAGCTCTTCAAGAATTTCCCAACGATCAGTTGATCTTGCTAGTGATACCACTGGGACACTTTTGTAATGGTACCCGAAACTATACAATAAGTGTTAAGAGAGTAAAGCGCTTAAAAGTAGATAACTAAGCTCAAGCTTAATAAGCGCTAGCGAAGTTATGTAAAAACTACCACTTAATGAGAAATTACAAGCGGTCTTTACAAGGAATAACAGAAGACTTCTATTAACACGCGAACGTAATCGAATGTGAGAACACAGCGATCCACAAATACGAGATACTCGGGCGAACAAAACACGAGGAACGGATCACAGAGTAATGACAAAGCAAATACGAAAAACATTGGGTCGCAGTCTGGGAAAGAAGACCTGCTATACAGGACGTAGTATTCTGAGGACTGTCGACATCAAATTTCCGCCAACATACAGCCTGTGTCCCCTACGTCATATAAAAGAGATCATACGAGATTCAAAACTATTGCTTACATGAACTAGCTATCCATAATCTAAGGCAACAAAAGAGCCTCAGCAAGGCTTCATTCTAGATTTGAACATATTTGAGAGATATACAAAATATGAAACCTCGAATGTTGTAGCGAAAAACATTTCATTTTGCAAGCCTGATATAAACTTTCTATAAGATATGGAAAAGACCCATATTTCGCCCCAAATGTGTACATAGGCTATCTTCCATTTGTGACGTTCGCTAGAGAAAGCTTGGAGGGATAGCGGCAGTCTTCGAAAGGCTAGCACGTACCAACGAAAACTAATATTCACATCATGAACCGAGCGAAGAGTGGAATTCTCTCTAACAAAGACGGCGCAATAATGTGGTTGAGAATGCCTGTTGAAGGTTCGCTTTTCCATCCTCAGCAATCCAGGAGAAAGGAGCACCCACATCACAAACAGCAGAATCTTAAAGAACGAAATAAATAAAATATTTCAACTTTTGAATTAAGTAATGACAAAAGGATGATCTCCAAAAGATTGAAGGACCTCACCAATGAATGTATTTGCTTTCATTGTTGCACACAGTTGAGCAAAACTTGTCTTCCCCACTTGAGGTTGAGCATTAGAAGTAACAGTATACACACCCGACGTAAGAACACCCAACATTAAAACATGAAGCTAAAAACATAAACAATAATAAGCATAAATTCTTTACCTTTTCTTTGAGTTCGAGCGATTCAAATTATTATTATGCTAAAGACTGATCGCACAGTGACTCACTCTATGATAATCTAACACAGAAGGAGCACATTCAAGTGAAATAACATGTGAACTTGTTTGTTTTCCGAGCCAAGATTGAGTTTCGGAAGTAAGCTCGTCACTAAGCACAATAATTACCTAAAAAAAGACAATAAAAACTGGCAGGCTCAGAAAAAAATGAGCAACTACTCACTCTAAGAGCAGATGGTAACATGGAAACACGATCAACCACTGAGACTAGGCCTAAATCGAAACTCGGAAACTTCCCGTAAAGAGTAGTCGTCACTCTAAAAACAGAAGTATTGAAGAATATAGCCTTTAGCGCAACACTACATACCGTGACATTTCATTGAGCAACTTAAATAGGTTCTAGAAGGAATGTTGAAAGGTCGCTACAAAAACTACGACGTGGTGGTGAAGCAGTTATTAAGCCAAGAGAGCCGAATTTTGGATGCAGAATCGATGAACGCACATGCGAAACAGAAAAAAAAACGACAAAAGTCAAAGCCAAGAGAAACGAAAAGGTTGTACTGCTGAAAAAACAAAAAGACAAACCCTCTGTTATCGAGATGTGACAGGACACGATCGACCAATCTTAAAGGAGTGGTTGAAGAAGCCAAAACGACAGTGCGATCAAGCGATATTCCAAGCCTATAAATCATTACAGAATGGAAATACCCTCTAATCATAGCCTTGCAAAATTTTTCTGTATTGTTCCTGATGAAAGCCACAATATTTTGCAGAAGCATTTGCCCGCACTCCTTCAGGCTCTTCTCATGTCCATGTGTAATGTGAAAAGTCCACCTCAGAAACCAATATGCCTAGTTTGCAACACATTTTCCCACACGCACTACACTTCCCTTTGCAAATAACAATATGCGAGTAGAAATTCATTCCGATCGGAAAATTATCTGAAAAATGAAAATAATGAAGGGTTTTTGCGTACCTTCCCACAACATCTATTAGCCACATAATCAATCTATCTGCGACCAAATAATAGTATACATCAGATCCCAGAGTTGAGCAGCATTCCTAAAGAAATACTATAATAATACTAATACTAAATACTAATTGGGACATTTTCAGCTGATTTTTTCACAACGCTGAACTTAGTCGTAAAAAATAAGGAGCCATCTAATTAAGAAAAGGTTGATTAAATTGAGAACTCACACTCAAGTACTTTTTCTTCAATGCCACATCTAAAACAGGTAGTGGAAAACCGTCGTATGTAGTCTCATAACCACTTGGACAAAAAGAAATAAATCGAATTGGTGGGGAGCGCCTAAGTGATATAAGGCTACCATGCTTGAAACTTATGCGTAAATTTAACTGCTATGGTGAAAGTAATAAAAACCACTCACCTTTCCATGGGGGACCTGGCAGTGGCGTTTGCTTTATCCGAATTTTCGATATGGTTGCCACCTCCAACAACATTTGTCCATGAAGTAACCCTTGCAGGGTCAGCGATGATATTCTCGTAGTGGGCAAAATTTTGTGACATCTTCTGCTTCTCTACTGACTCATAATATTCGTCTTCCAAATTCTGGAAAATGGAAGTGAAAAATATGAATAAAACCACACTTAAGGAAGTGTGAAAAACCATAAATCATCGTACCTCACGTTTAAACTGCTCCAAATTTGCATCAAAATCGAAATCTGTATTGAGTAACTCAAAATCGATCGGTTTGACCAACTCGTCGTTGCCGTTTGCTATTCTACCATGTAACTTTTTAGAGTCGAGCAGTGGATTACCGCTAGGTCCTGAAAATTCTTCACATTCACTATGTCAGACTTACGCCAACTGAATGTTCACCTTTTGTTTTGCCTCTATTTTTCACTTTGGCCACGAGAAGTTCGCGAGGTAACGGGACTTGAGGTTCAAAGCTACGGAAGTGTGGCGTTTCTGACACACCTACAGGATGACTGTGGATCTGAAAACGATTTTTGAAAAGTACCTGTGGATTGTTTGAACAAGTTGAGATAGTATATAACATTGCCATCAAATTTTAAAATGATGAGGCAATTCTTCTGTTTTACGGTAGCTTGACACCTCACAATGAAAGCTCCCCACTCCTACAAGATTGGTCGTACTACCCAAACAAGACTAACATGTTCTGATTCAGATCTTCTGACTCGACGACTTCTTGTTCTAGGTTTCGAACGAACATCCGGGGGTACGCTGAAAAAGTATCTCAAGAAATAGTGAACTCGAGCAGAAATTGATAAAGATACCCTAACACCTACCACTGCCCCTCTTCGCTAGTAGAACTGACAGAGCTAGGTTTCCTCTGTGGTGCAGTTCTGCTTGATTTATTTTGTACAGCAGTCGTTGCGCTGAATAGGGTTACTTTAGTGTATGAAAGAGAAGTTACATAAGAACTACCATCCCAAACCACAGACCGTGTGTGGAGACCACCTCCTTGATTCCGATTTTGAGAAGCTTCCGTGCTGTTGACTGTAACAAAAATCTATATCTAACATGTCTTCCGATAACTAAATTTGGTAGAAACAATTGCAATTCTCACACTCGATTGTACTCTTGCTTCTGTGAACAATGGGGCCATTTTGTTTCGCTCCGTTTGGTTTTTGAAGAGTGTCCTTTTTCTCCGCGTGGTTATTTGAAGTGGAAGCCAAATTTGCTTCCATAACTTGCTGTGCTGCCTTGAGCACCTTTAGGCTCACTATTTGCGCACCATTCAGCGTCACATTTTTGCCAAGAGGGATACCTTCCCTGGAAACAGAAAAATGAGAGCTTGACAATGTTAGGAAACACCTCTTTGAATAGGTGGACTCACTTGAATGCAGATCCCAGCACAATGTCTTTCGAGTCAGCGTCGAGCGATATGAGCCTCCCTTGATAGTAGCCGAACTCTCCGCAATCGACTGATATTACACTTCCAATACAATTCGTCATAATTGGCAGGACTTCGTTTCAGTGTGTAGAAAACGATTCCTATTTTAACTTTGCTAAATGTAAAGTAGATTTGACCGTAAAATGAATAGCAGAAATCGAAAAACACTTCGTAAAAAATGAAGTTAAACTCTCGAAATAGTCAATTTATGGGACTTAACCAATACTGCAATTTCATCCAAGACGGAACACTGTTTATTAGTAAAAACACACGATGGCATATGAGAACAAAAATAACGACGAACTGAAATAGAGATCAAGCAATATAGTCGAGTGGCCGGTTGAATCCCCCTTTTCTATTCATGTACTGGCGATAACGGCGAGGTTTATTGATTTTGACAGCACCATCGTAATTGACGTGTACCTAAATAAACGATGTACAGCGTAGTATTCGAAAGTTCCCGTTTTGAATACACCCAAATTTAATAAAAACCAAACCAAAATCCAATCCTTTCCTTTTCATGATCTTTCTTATTCCTGAGTTAAATTGACGCAAAAGTACCTACCTTTTTATTCTTTGTAGTATTGAACCCTGTGAAGCCCATCAGCGTCGAAATATCCTGTTCGCAATTCACTAGCTGATCAAGAGAGATAGGTTCTGAAAATACATCATACAAAACATGAACAAATAGAGGGGAGAGCCTCTTTCAAACAGATTTTTCTAAACACTCGGAAAACCGGAAGAATACTAATACATAGTTGCATAGATGGCGACCTAAAGCTCATGGAGTAGAACCGTTGCGGCAACCTTACTCTTTACACATATTTCTTGGCACATACATGACGGAGCCCGTTTTCTTCTTTGGTGGCGCGGGCGCAATTTCGCTGCCGCTTTACCTCGCATTCGTGGATATTTGGTAACATGAATAAAAACATAAATAGCACAAGTTTCTGTAAACTACAAGACGTTGATTATTTCGATATCAAAAATATGAAAAAAATTATGATTGGTAGGTGATTATTAGCTGTCAGCCCATTTGGCTGCTACTTACTTGAACGTGATAGAGTATTTTGCTTAACTTTTTTTGATGGAATAGTGCAAAGACACTTGATCCATATGCGGAATGAGCAAAGCTTCAGCTCCGCAACCCGACCGCGTGGTAGTTTGGAACGTGGTCCAGGTCACAACAGTTGTTAAAGTATGGCCAAAAGAACGAGAATGTGTGAGAATGCGTTATACTTAGGTAACGCAACGAACTGCACTATTTTCGCATGATTCATTTCCATTCAGCTCAGAATCAACAGCACCGGCGCAGCACAGGTAGAATATTGATCATAGAGACATTTAGATGCGGATGCGCATTCGCGCGTTCGGCTTTAAGTATTGAAGAAATTACTTTACAACCTTGCGCATGTTGCCTTTCCTTGTCATCACGTCTTCGCCTGTCATCACGACTTTTACGATCTCTGCTTCGACTACGACGCCGTTCATGTGGACTTCTGAAAATGCTAGCAGTGAAAAGCAGCAAGGAACAATTTGTGAAGCTTCGTGTATCGTCACCTGCTTCTGCTTCTCCGCTCCTTACTATGCCTTCGTTTCCCTACTCGATCGTCACGTTCCTTATCTCTTTCACGACTTCTGTCACGTGGCTTCCTCTCCGCGGAACGTGATCGTCGGCGGCGCTCTAGATGTGAACACTAAATCGTTGCATTGAAATACGCTCACATAAAGAACAGAAATTAACACAGACTTACCTCTGCTTCTGCTACGACTGCGAGCCATTGTCGTGGAGAGCTGAAAGAATATGAAGAATTCAGCAACAATACATATGACAGTGAGCAAATCGAACAAAGCGTGCAAGTGTAGTGGTTGGAGGGGCAGGTAAGGGACATTGCGGCGTAATTGTTCCTCTCCGCAAAAGCAATTTGCGCGGGCAGGAAGCTCCAGAATGGGTGGAGTTTGTTTGTAGAAGAGGGGAAATAAGCGAATGTAATAATGAAAATGTCTGCTATGTGGCCGTATCCTACCCTTCCCTTAGGCTAGGAGAATGAGAATCCCTTTGAATTTTTTTCCGACAAAAATCACCCGAGGAACTGCATATTTGTAACGTATGTGTGCAAAAGCAAACGACTGCAGAAGGTAAGGGAAGTTAGTCTTCTGAAACCTAAGAAATTCAAAACTCTTTTGTTCTCCAAGCCTGAGGGAAGGATAGGGTACGACCCATGGTCTTGAATGCCTTGGGTTCCGCCCCACCACGCCCCCCCTCCTCCCAGCCGCATTTAAGCCGTACAAGATTACGAGAAACAGTGTTGAACTAACACGAATAACAACAATATGATCCAAAATGAACATGCCACTAAACTGACCACGTAGGTAAGCAATTCGCTCTAGAAATCAATAAGTGTTCCAATATCTTCGATCACGTAACTCAGTGAATCTACCCTTACGTATGATCGATTACCCCCTTAAATGCACTAAATTTCACAACCACTGCAGGCGGGAGTAAGGAAATCAATAAATAAGGAGAAAGTGTTTAACAAGAAAAGAAGAAATGAAGTTGTGAGCGCACAGCGACCGCCCCTTGATTGTGGCGACCCTCATAGTACACGCACAGAAATTTACAGTGTCTACCTAAAAAAGACTGGAGCAGGCTGAACACGTGATGCATGACTAAACACGAGTTCGTACTTCATGCCATAATTGAGATAATCGATGGGCAATAGTCTGCATATCCAAAAAGGTAGTAGGTTGCAAAAATTCTCTGAATGCCACGCAACATGATTGACCCATGCATTTCGTTTTTAAATTTCAACTCGCAATTGGAAAATGACAAATCGTATGAATTCGTCTCGAAACTTTCTGAGCCTAATAGTAGCCAATTCGGTTGCGTTACGCTAAATTACTACAGTTTGGGACTAAAAACATGTTAGAAAGTTTGAAAAAGGAATACAGACAAGCCACACAGTAGCATTGTAGAACAAGAAACGACTCGATTCGAATATGATAGTTTCTTAAAAAGAAGTTTAGCATTAAACAGTAGATAGCATTCACAAACAATTGCATTCCGATATCATTAGACGCGGTTCCGATTCACATGTTCGGGCCTTCGTCGTGGAGGTCGCTGAGTGTAATTGCGTAATGCGAAGTATACCGTAACCCACGCCTAAATTTATTCTCCGCGGTTACCGTTTCATTGGGGAAGGCTTCCCCGTGGAAGTCTGGTGGGGACCAAAGAAGTCGGTAGAGATGATGCCAGTCATACGCCTAAATTTTTCTGAGCAGGAGGCATGATTTTACTGAAAATCCACTTTTTTATATCTGAGGCAGGTTCCTAAAGTATGACTTCAAATGACGCGTGTGCGTTAAATGGAAGATCTCATCCAGTAGGAGGATGGGAGGTGGGGGGGGGTATTATGTGGTACGACAGTTCATGTCGCCTGAAGCAATTCAATTTGCTCAAGAGTGGAACGAAGCTGTGTGGTGAATGAGAAAGTGGAAGCGGAACGGTTTGAACCCTGAGGATTACCTCCCTCAGCGAAAAATCGGAAATTTCCCACATGCCCCTCACTCCTGCCTTATAGACGAGTCCAAAACGAATAGCACATTTGTGCACTAATATCCCTGTGG